TAGATGAAGCGAAAATTCTTGAAATTCATTAAAAAGATTAAATTATTGTTGGTTTTTCATTTGCTCCATCCGGTACGTCAAATGATGCAGCATGGTTAAGTTACACAAAAGAGGCACAAAGTCAAAGTGAATTACTTTCATAGGTAATCAAAGTTGAAGAAGTTTTCTTTTGTATAATAAATTTTCCACTACTCGGCAAACTAAAGGCTCTTCCCTAAAAGGGCCACTTTAATTCTTTTAAAGAATGCATTCTGCAGAATATCTTTTCTGCACACTTTTCACAGAATATGAGACATCCAGACATCTTTTGAAATTGAAGTAAAAAAAGGGGTTTTTCATCGAAACCACTTTTTACAATGGTCGGATAATTTTCGTTTCTATTTTCACATTCCGCCCAATGATTTATCGATCGTATTGACTGTCATTTACAATGGCAATTTTACACGAAATAAAACAAATTACATACCATTCATTCGAAAGCTCTTTGCCGTTGGCACGAAAACCGTTTGTTTACCCAGAACACACACACATACATACACAAGAGATAAAGAAATACCAAAAAGAAATATTCGTTTCATAATGAGCGCGTTCAAATATGACAAATAAATAATATAAACAATGGAAATAAATGACTGCATGACATTTGAAGCAACGAAAAAGAAATAGCGTTGCTTTGGTGAAGGGTAATAAAAAAAAATATCGTGATGATTGCGATGTGTTACTAAACGGATGGATGTGCAAACAAAGTTCATTGAACAGTGTCTGATTGCGTTTGCAGATAAAATTGTGTTTGAACGATGCTCAAGTAACACGATATCACCAACAAAACTGGCATGTGTTGATCGTTTAACCAAACAACTAAAAAAAATGTGCGCCAGCAAAAACATAAGTAAAAACAAAAACAAAAACGAACAAAAAAAGAAAATTGCTACATTTCAATGTCTTGTGTCAGATTTGGTCGTTTCTTCGAGCACAAAATACAAACGAAAAAAAAGCGCACACACACTGGATTTGTAAATATGTTTAGAAAATATTTATATTCAAATTTTTGTACAAAGAAGGGAATAAAGAGAAAGAGAGCGAAAAAACTGATTCGATCCGAAGCTATTCAAATGTAGACGAACAGATGGAAAAGAGCTGTTCAAAACGTGATGAAAATAAAACTTCAAACAAACTCATCTATATGTTTTCACATTTTATCTGATTGCATGCCGCTGGCACTCACGATAACAACGCATATGATTTGCTTAGATCTCGATTTTTTTTTCGTTTCTCTATCTCTTCTTCATCGCACGCTTCTTACTTCCATCAAATCGTTTTGCTGGAATGTGTATGGTGTTTGAAGCTTTGTTCTATTCTACAGAAAAGTGAGGTTTACCATTAATTTGCTATGAATTCAATGCCAAGGATGATCATTTTATGCATAAAGTATGGTTTAAATGGTTTCCCTTACAAATGACAATTTACCTGGTTTGGAAAATGGTCGGAAATCGAAAATAACGTTTAATCTTCCGACATTTTATGGCGATACATGTAAGCAATTTATGTTGGAATGAATCATTCGCTTCGGGACACACAAAAATCACAATAGGAATCTACGAAGAATATGCTAGTTGTAAAAGAAGAATCGTTATAAACCAAACTATTCAAATACATTTGATTCAAATCACACATTTCAATGTTGAACTTCGGATTCTGTTCTTTCTGGAAATTGACGTAAAATCGTTGAGTTTTTAATGCAAGCAAAATTCAACAATGACAAAACAAAACTGGTTGGAAAATTGGCTGAAAAAAAGAGCCAAAAATAAAAGCCGCCTGTGGCTGATTTAACAAGAAAAATTGTTATTATACACAAAAATGATATAAAACGAAGTAAATCTCACAAAATATTATTAAGACTACACGAGCGTGCCTCGTGTTCATTGTGCTTTTGTGTAATTTCGAGTGAATGTTTGCGCAACAAAAAGAGACGAAAATTTTGTTTGAACAACAAAAAGCAGTACATACTCGTTCACAGAGCAAATGAATAAAAGAAAGCCGTGTGATGATGCAATGTCGTACAACAATCGTGAGACGATAAATTTGGTGTTGTTTCATGAGCCAACATTTATTTTTTTTCCTATTTCTTTGCACTTCTCTCTTGTCGTTTACACTGTATGTTTGATTTTTGGTGTAGATTTTAGCATCCCAAAGGAAATTATGGCTCATAGCTTTTCTGGGTTATATTCATGATGCGCGTTGACGGCGCAACGTAAAAAGAGAACAACTGAGTGAGTGAAAAAAAAGTCATTGAATTGTGTGACAGAATAAGTGCATTCCGTTCGCTTTTATGACAACCGCGATAAACATAATCAACGTTAAATTTATAGCAGCTAAATAATATATGCTCCATTCAGCAAACCACCTACGCCATCGTGAAAAGTGAATAAATGAGATTGACACAATACAAAAAAAAGAGAACAAAAGCAGAATATCTCAAGATGATAAAACATTGACATGATTTTGAGAGCGATAGAGGTAGAAAGGTGGCAGTGAAGCGTAAAGCAGAAAAAAAAACGAAATACACGGTAAAGTGAATTACAAATGTTTTAGCCCCATCCATTTGCTTGACATTTAAATGGCATAAATTTCGACATAAATCCGCTGCAATCGAAAAATGTCGACTGACAATGTAACGAGAGTAATCAATGCTTTATGCGGCCGTTTGCCCGTCCGTACCCATGCACCATCATGTAAGAGCTAATCAAAATTCAACTTTATTTAATATTTATTTCACTTTCGGTTGGTTGCTTTGGCTTGACAAATGTATGTTTGATTTGCTTTTATTGACAATCAAATTTTAACATTATGATTCGAATTCACGAGAGATTACATTGTATATTTTGGAAGCACTCATTTTTACATTGTAACCGTAAATTGTGGCCATTTGGTGACGATAAAAAGAACGACGAACAAATGAGCGAAGGGAAGAGAAAGAGAGCGGGAGCTTTAAGTGGGAAATTGCTCTCGACATTGTCCGAAGAAGATGCATTGCAAATTGGAAATTGTAAATGATGGCAAATGGGTAGCATTAAAGTAGTTAAAACAGACATTTGCTGTGTGTGAGGTAGAGAAAACCGCATTCTTTCCTATATAAAAAAAACAGGCTGCAATACTTTATCCGATCCAGCGAAAATCATGGAATTATTATCACTATATTCACACAATCGAAATAAAGAAATACGACTTTGAGACAACAGTAATGATATTATTGCGATTTCCCAGGCATCGTGGTTGTCTTTTTCCCCTACCTTTTTTTCTTACATAGAGGTGTTGAATGGGTGAACGGATGGAAGCTTCTAAGCGAGATAGTTCGAAAGACAATGAAAGAAAAAAAAATCCCATGGATTTATCTTTATGGTTTATCTGAAATGGATCCATCGTCAACACTGTGACATTGTTCCATTCAGCATCGTAAAAATATCGCCGATGAAGAAGTGCAAACGACATTCATGACTCTCTCTCTCTCTCTCTCTCTATCGCTTTGCTATATTCCACTTTCCGTACGCGTACGGTAAAGATATACAGAGATACAAACTCGCAAACGTATAAGACGATTTATTGTGTTGGCACCTCGAAATGACGCAAATGCAATTTAGCGAATGCACACGTGCTTTATACATGCTTTGCTGTATTTTCGGTACTCCTTTCGCCGGCGATATGGGAACATTGTTGCAAATCAAATAAACCATTTTCGATACACGAAGCCATCACATAAATTTAAATTGTTTATCCTTTTAAATGTGCTTATGAATGTTTATGTGTTTCTGGTTTGATGCTCTATCTATCTGCGCTTCTGTTTTTACTCAGCTATGGGCTGCTTTTCATTCTCACATAAATGCAATGTGTTTTTCTCTAAACAAAACAAGAACACAATTGCACCATTTTGCCGATGCCAAAGTATATTGTCTTCAAATGAAGATCATGAAGCAATCAAATTTAGTGCTAATATTGTCATAAAATACATTTTGTGCGACAATTTATGGTATATATTCGCGCCTCATTCAGTTATGTCAATAGAAATACCATTCGGAAAAGTACTTTTGTAAACTTGTCAATTTCTAATAAAACATGGATGAAAGAACGCAAAAAAAACACTTGACGAATCCATTCTGTGAACCACTTTCATTTACAATTCAATCATGTTCAACCGTAACGAAATAAATGCACTTTTGCGATGTGTAAATAAATAAATATGCTTTTCATCAAAAATGATGCATTTATGTATTCTCGAGTGCACTTTGCATTTACTGCTTCTCAATGAAACGACATTTTATACAATATTTTGTGACTTCATTGACACTCGACTCAACAAAAACAACCGGAACTATGGATACAATCTCAATTTTGAATAATTCAAAGCTAATTTAACTAATTATCTTTGAAATATGTCTCTTTGGAAATTAACATCCTAGCTTTTATCGATGAGGTGTAGATTTCAGTTTTTTTTATACAAAAAGTTGAGAGGAATGAAATCACTTTTTAGCTAAAGAAAAGAAAGTTTTTGGTCTCGTTATGTGAAAACGCGAAAAAACTAAAAGTATGTTCTTTTCTTCAATATTCTTCGTTCAGATTTTAGGGGCTTTGCCCAAAAATATTCCACTCTACACGAATTTTCAACGGATGAAAAACTTTTCAGTAGCCTTATATGCCAAGCTGGCGTTGTATATGGTGGGCCAAGTTGGATCATGAGACCATTGGTCATCTTTAGTGCTGCACTCAAGCCAATTACTGTTCTTTATCGCTATTTTCGATGTAGAAACATACTTCTCAAATATTGACCAATTTTATTTTTGTCGTTCCTTTCTTTTCAAGTATAATTATCAATTTGGTCACAGCTGCAATTTTGCCACACTTACTTCACAAAATTAATTCAATTGTGCAATTTTGTTGGAATTTCATTTTTCAATTTGTTAGTTTTTTATGCAATTTTATTAAAAACTTATTTTATTTTTTTACAGGTAAACAGCATTCCACAGAAGACACAACATCAGAAATAAATGGTAATATTTACGAAAAAAAACTATGCAATATCAAGAAATGTGTATTCAAATCGGATCTGAAAACATGTGCTATATCAATTTTAAAATAGGCGATGAAACGTTGTGTTATTAATTATGAAATATATCTCAACATTATTATGATATTTTGGCACAGTAGGAGAAATATTTGGTGTGTCGGTTTGGTTGTGGTATATTTTGGTTCTTGAAAATAATTGTTATGCAGATTGGCTGAATTACCACGCAACATTTTACCATTTTCAACATCCACCATGCCACCGGATCGCAATGTTTCAAGTTTCTGTTTCAATAAATGCATTTGCATAAAATGTTGAATTTCATGGGTAAAAATAGTAAAACCACATACGCGCTCCCTTTCAAATGAAGCGTAGAAATAGTATAACATATTGACTGACTGCATAAAAAACCATAATTTATGAAAATGTTTCATTTTATGTGAAAAAGTAAAAAAGCAGACGTTAAAATGCTTCGTATACATGCAAAATATGGTCTATCTCTGTGTGCATGTTTTTATTATAGTCGAAAATACTATTATCATATCTAAAACCAAATCATGCTCCGATTTCCGTGTGTATATTTTGTCAGTGGTAGCGCGTTTAAATTGCGTCTGTTCGCTTCATAATCATTTTAATATAAATCGTTTCATTTCGGTTTTTGAATTGCCGGGCCCATCATTGCTCACTAACGATGGCATTTTCATCGTTCACATATATAAATCCAACTATCTATTTTTAGTAAATTTATATTTTCACATCAAAACTGTTTGGCTTCGCGGCTGTCGCTTACAAACAATTTCATTTTATCTGTACAAATAATTCAACGCTCTTATTTTGTTTGATACGAAAATGCAAAAAAAAAAAAATGAGAATAAATATACGAAATGGCTGAGGGGCTTGCAAAAAAAGGAAGTTTATGAATAACAAGTGTTTCAAGGAAGCCAACGAGAATATTTCAACAACAACAAAAAAAATTGAATGAAAGAAAACAAATAACTGAAAATAGAGCAGCAACACCACCGCTAAAATGAATAAATTTCATTTTGAAAGTTTTTCGAAAATTTTTATTCATTTATTCCAATGAAATGGTATACCGTTCATGTAGTCGTTGTCGTTAAACTGTTTTATTTTGTCGACTGTGTCTTTCACTCTCTTTCTCCTCCCTTACTCTCTATCTTAGCTTGAAGCGTACTCTTTTTCTTCCGTGCATTAAACCACAAGAAAAGCTACTCCGCCTGAAATATTCATCACGTTAAAATTGTTTTTATGGTTGCACTAACTATTCAACATAAAACATGTGCTGGAAAATTAATTTTCCTGACTTTTTCTCAACTTTTAACATGCTTGCGAGCAAGTGAGCTCACACACACATACAATTACTTGTTCGCGCTGCCTTTTTGATTCACTTGTGCCGGAACTTACAACAGCTCACTTCTGTTTTGTCTTTCAATTCCTTTATTTAGTTATAAAAAAAACAGCAGAAAGGGAAAATACGACAAATAAATAGAATATAAAACTCAATTATGTAATAAAAACTACGACTCCGGCATTACATTTACCATACAAACACGTTCACATTTCAAACAATGTCTGTTCGCTTGAAGGGAATTCATTAAGAGAAAATTGTATAACAAATTAAAAATGACTTCACATTTATTCATGGCAATCGATTTGTAGCGATAATATTAAACAAACGACCACAAATTCAAATATGCCTCAACTCATAAATCATTTAAAATGAGAACCACAAAAAATGACACCAACTCGATAATAATTTGATCAATTTATCGGGCATTATTCACGCTCGTAGGTAAAATAAAAGGCAGATAGAAACAAACAATCGCCTATATTTCAATGGATTGAATACCAACGGCTCGTCGACAATGGAACCATAATTCGATTATAATCAATAATTCCACGTGAAAAAACCAAAACTTAAAACGGAACAAATTAACTGACAGACAAAAGCAATCCCTCATGTTTATATGATGAAACGATTTTAATTACACAAATTAAACAGATTTTTGCTATTAAATCCCATCGGAAATTTATTTCATTTAAAAAATGTTGATTTCATTTTACATTTTTTCCCTCTACAGAATTGAATTTACCTCGTTTTGCTGAACCAATACCAAATATCACTGTGACTATTGGTAAAGATGCGCTTCTTGCTTGCGTTGTAGATAATTTAAAATCATATCGGGTAAGTTGATGTCAATTTTATTTCCCTGGGACCTCAGGAAGAAAGAAAAATATTGTTTTGATTCATTTGAATACGTATAAAGACAAATTGAAGGAAAAGCACAAAATTATAAGAAAAAAGTGAATACATAATTTGTGAATAGATCATGATTTGCACATTTTTTTCACAAAGGTGAGCAATATCAGTTTTTCGATCGTATTTTTTTTTCTTCACAAATATGAATGTATTTGATTGGCCACGATTCAATTTGTTTCGCTAAATAAAAAACTAACCAGAAAAAAATCAACACAAAGCGACACAAAAATTTCATCATAATCCATCAGATCTGGTGTATGTACAATGGAAATGTGACATGTTTCAGTATTGAGCCAAAGAAATTGTTGCCTTGGAATTCAATCTATTTTGGAATTCTGTGCTTTTCTTGGTTTCCGTCTGTTAAATAATGCCACATGAAAATATGAAGTATATGTATCCATGCATCGAAGCATTGAAGGTTGAAAAATAAATGCCGGCAAATAATATGATATAAATAAATGATTGGCAAAGTCGTTGCAAATAACAATGACAGACGTATAAATAGAAAAAAAAACGGTAAAAATCTTGAAAAAGATTTCGATACTTGTTTGGAATGAATGTGCCAAAACTGGCAAATTGGTATTGTGTAAATATGAAGGAAGTCTTTATGTTTGCTTTTGCGTCGTTTGAATCGAAAAAGATGTGTGAGTGAAAATTCGGTCGGGCAAGATGTGTCCACATTGATATGGAAACAACAATGAAAAGAGTAAACACACTTGTGTGTAAGATATTTGCTGAGGTTTTCGTTCAAAATACACAATCATTACGTTCATATTATTAAATAAACCGAAATAAACAGGTAATCATACGAAAATAGCGTTGCTCCTAGTGCTGTTCGATACAAACAAAATCGTGAAATAAGGTCACAATGTAATTGGTGTAGTAACTGGTGTATGTCTCTGGAGAAATACGCTAACCTATTGTCACGTGAAATACGGTGCGATATTTCAAGTGAACTAATATTTATCGTTTCAACGTCGACGAGGCAGTAAACATAAACAAATAGGTGAAAAATGCAGTTTTTGGAGTAGAAAATAGGAAATATCGATTGCATTACAACGACACGAAATCAACAATTTTTTATTTCGCTTCTTTTTGGCGCAGTGATTTTTTTGTGGACATTTTCTTATTTCAAAAGTTCAGCCGAACGAATAATTTTGGGATTTGTTGCTTTTTTTGTTGTTGTATAAAGAAACGATTGTAAAACTATTCACAACAGTGAAAATTTTTTATCCCATGAGAGAATGTCGTGGGCACCAACACTGAATACTCTAAGAAAAATGGAAATCGTTTATCCTTTGTTGATTGCTTACTGTCGTTAATATAATTCCATGCCAAATAAAAATCGATTCAAATTCAATGGATTCAAATTGCAAATCATGTTAGAATTTATGAAATTGAAACTTTTCCATAAAAGCTTGCGGCAAAAAAAGTTGTTTCGAACCAATTTACGCGAAAAATTCAGTCATCTCACCCGAGATTCATTGGTTTCCATTAAGAGGAAATGAAGTTTTGTCGATTTTGATGTGTGGTGCAATTGCATATCCATCACAGCCACCGTGCCGAAATTGTATGCATCACGCGGAATGTGTAAACAACGATCTAAACCGTTTTTACAACGCTATTTCTCCTCCACAATTCACGTCAATGTTGATTTATTGCTGTGATCAGGAATAAAAAGCACTCATCTACATCGACTCGATACACAAACACAAAATCAAGTGAAATGTTGCGCGCATTTATTGCATTTCACGTGGAATTGATTTCCATTGATTGCTGCCATTTGCAGGGTGCCACCCATGAGACTGCAATATTAAACAATTCAAATAACGTCATATAATGGTAAAAGCACTTTCGTTTTGTTGAATAGATTCTTTAGTGAATTCACAAAACCATTTTATGTGCATTGTATCACCCGTTTGCCCAACGATATCGACATTATATTCGATTTACGTCAAAAATTGATTCAAAATTTGCTGCCGAAAACTGCTGAACACCGGTTGCAAAATCTAAAATATAATTTTAAATACATTGAACGAAAGTGAATTACACAAAGTGATGCTGTGTGATCGAAACAATACATCAAACCATAAACAAGTATGAGATAGATATATGAACTGGCGCGCAACGCCAATAACCAAGCGTACAATATTCAATTTAATATTGTTGATGGAAACTGAATTTCGATCACAAATAGAATTAGCGATGAGATAGTTCAAAATCACAAAACGACGTTGCCACCAACGAAAAATCAATTTCCATTACCAACAGCGAAATTGTAGCTAACATTTAAATGCGAATGATCATATAGGAAAATATACATTATAAAAAAATTGCTGTTTCTCTTGTTTTCATATATTGTGCACATCGATCAATTCGAATGGGAATGGAAATGTGAATCATTCAAGTCGAATATATGTTGCTGTCACAGTATGAATGACAGTTTTTTCAGTTTGATTAGTAAAATGTCAAACAGCCACTTTCCATTTGGACACTATGTCATTGTTGTTTGGCGCTATAATTATTTTATCCTTAAAATGCTGCATTTCTAAAAAACTTACATTGATTCTGTCTATCAAAATTCAATAAAATGCCACACTTCAACTAATTGTGGCAAACTGTCTGCTGGTGGCCACCACTAATCTTTATCAATTATTTCTCATCCTATCAAAAGGTGGCATTTGTTAGAGTCGATACACAAACTATTCTTTCCATTCATCATAATTTAATTACACAAAATCAAAGGATATCATTAACACATAATGATCATCGTTCATGGTATTTACACATTAAAGAGGTGGAAGAAGATGACCGAGGATGGTATGTATAAATAGAGAATAAAATCACATTTTCTACATTTCTGACATTTATAATTTGGTTTTGTTCATTTTTAGGTATATGTGCCAAATCAATACTGGTAAATTCATTAAGAGTTGATCATTGCATTAACGCTTTCGTTTTAAAGGTTCTTATGATTTTTTTTGATGTTCGTGTCAATTTTTACCACTTTTCGCAGATCCGATGCGGTCAAGAAAGGGCTATTTACAAGTGGTAGTTCCGCCGATAATTGTCGAAAGCCACACAAGTAACGATATGGTTGTGCGTGAGGGTAGTAATGTCTCCCTGGTGTGTAGAGGTATTGAACAATTTGACATAAGCCAACTCTATTCTCTTACTGCAACAATAAAATTGCAAATTTCGTCTAATCTAAAAGACTATGAAACGGGCATCATTCTTATTTTCTTTCATCGTATTGCCAACTTTTTTCATTTAATAATAACAATTTGTTTTTCCATTTTTTGCAAAGCGAAAGGATATCCTGAACCATATGTACGTAATATCCATAATAC